TGCCGACTCCCTGAATCTCTCTGCTTCACTGATCTCAAAGACATTAGACAGCAGACAACCAAGTATTGCTAAATGACATGTTTTTTGTGTTTGCTCCTTTGAATCTTTTAATACATTAGGAATTTTACCATTGCTTGCAACTTTATTTCCTTTTCCCCATTCCTACTACCTAATTCTAAGTTCCTCCCTGACTCATTGCATGATTTACAAAAGCTGATAAAATCACATGGGATGTTGGGTATAACAGCTCTTGTTATAGACATTTTAAAATTTCTCTTTCCTTTAGCTTTGCCATCTTCATTCTTCCTCATTCAATTTATGTCTTTCCTGTGTTAAGTACATAGAATCATGAGGTATTGTGGCTTAGTCCATAGAGAGTTGATCTTTAGGTCTAGTAGTGCTGAGTTCACATGTGAACCCTAAGATATCATGGCTTTGTGGCCCTGGACAAGTCACTTAGCTCCTTAGTACCCCAGGCACCTTTCTAATACTCTAAGTGACAGAAGAGCTGGAGACCTACACTGGAAGAGGGAGTTTGCCATCAGTGACTTCCCTCATAGGGTGAAATCATAGGTCTGGAAAAAAATAACAAGTCATCCGACTCTGTTCTACACAAAGCACCTCAGATATACAGTTGTCTGTCCTCTTGTGGCTTTTGTCTATGGCCCACTTGTTTACCATTGTTCTAAAAACAGCTTCATTTTCTTAATGCCTTATATGGGCTTCTGCACAATAAAATTTATTTAGTGGCTTACAAGCCCAAGTGGTGCTAATTTAATTTTCTTCCCCTGGCATAAATCATATTTAAAACAAACTGCATTGAATGAAGTCTACCAGATTCTAAAATGCATGATTGCATAGTACAGGGACAAAGACAGTCACTTGCCTAGAGACCTGGGCAAATAGCTCTCTGCTATTAACTCATTTTTTCAGTCCTACTCCAAGAGGCAGAATCGTGTTGTATCTGCCAGTTTCTCCTAATTTTCCTAACAAGTTGCTGGAGAAAATGAAAGGGAAGTGGGGGTGGGTGGGAAGAGAGGTTGACTGAGAAGGGGGTGGTTAGGAGAAAGCCAGGCTTCATTCTGTAACCTCATCCCTCTATTGACTTCCTGTAAGGCTGAGGAACAATCAAACCCCAGTATCCATACAGCTTCTATTAGGCAGACAAACTGCACTTGTGATTCTCCTACCTCTCTTTTCAAACCCTTTCCTCTTAACTTTGCTTCTCTCTCCATCCCAAAGACTCAGTTACGAGTCCTCTTATGCTTGCTTTTCCCTCATTACTACTCAGATCCCCTAGATGTGGTGCTCTAAAAGGGGCTGCCCTCTGCAGAACCATGATCTATGGCTGTCCCTATGAATTTTTGTACCCAGGGCAAATACTATAAACTGCACTTGAGTCAAGTGGCACCAAAACAGATAACTTTTAGTTGAGGAAAATGTGGAGCAGAGGAAGGGGAGAGGATTTCATTTCAGCCTGCCATCTGATAACTTCCTATTTTAACTAATTATTCTTGTTAACTAGATATGAGTTCTATAGTTTCAAGTCTGAGGAAAAACTGCTAACATCTCAGCACCCTCTAAATTGGCACCCTGGGTCAGAGCTCTTGTTGCTCTAATTTAACCATGTCTCTATCTTGTAATCTGCACCTCTTTTTCTCTCTCTCTCCACTGTTCCCTTTACCAAAACAAACTTGTCCAATATTCTATTCTGTTCTCAGTCAGCTCTTCCAATAAATGAATCCCCTTAAGGTTCTGACAATTAAGTGAGCATAAGGCAGACAGTGACATAGGGGAAAAACTCCTAGGCTGAGAATAATGAGACTTGAATTCTAATTCTGGCTCTGCTATTTACTAGTTATGGGATTTGGGGTATCTCACTTAACCTCTTGGGTTTAGTTCTTTTATATTTAAACTATTTTTAAAATATGGAACTCCTGAGATTTATATACATTTCAAAATCCAACAAGAAGAGTGCTTAACAATAGAATTCCAGTTGACATGACAGGATAGTGGGGAAAAATTTTTATTGTATTGAGTCCATAAGATCACACTGTTCATGCTTACTGGATACCAAAAAAATTATAATTATATTAACTCAATCAACCTGAGACCCTGGGAAAACAGTGGCATTTGCCCATAAATTCCAAGGATGATGCTTTTTTGTGTTTCTTAGGATGGCAGCCTTGATGCCAAATTGTAGCAAGACTCAGCCTCATCAGTTATTGTTGTCCTAAAAACAAGGTCCTTACAGACAAAATTGAAACTTTCCACCAACTGTCTCCACTTGCCTATTTGCCCTTGTCTCTTGCTGCGCTGCTCTGATGAGCAGTGTAGGTGTCTTTATATTTCAATCATTTGTGTTGACTTGGAGTTATTTGTGTTTGCCTTGTCTTTTTCTTGTTGTTATCATTATTGCTGTTGTTGTTGAGTTGTTCCAGTAGTGTCCAACTCTCCATGATCCAATTTGGGATTTTCTTGGCAAAGATATGGGAGTGGTTTGCCATTTACTTCATCATTTTACAGATGAGGAAACTGAGACAAATAGGTTGAGTGACTTGCTCAGAGTCACACAACTACTAAGAGACTGAGGCCAGATTTGAACTCAAGAAGATGAATCTTCCTAACTTCAGGCTTGCACTCTGTCCATTGCACCACCTAGTTGCCACCTTGCCTTGTCTCACTGGTTAGAATAATTTTAACTTCTCAAGATTAGGGACTAAGTCTTTTACTACTTTTATATTATCCATGGTCTAGAGGGCTCCTTTTACAAAGGGCTCCAGCTCTGGGTGAGAGAGAATTTGTGTTCATTCCTATGGAAGCCTGAGTCTTAAAAAAAAGAGATGCAGGCTTTTTCTTACCCTCTGGCTCATTCATCCCTACTCCAGCTTGTGCCAGGAAAATATTATAAACAAATCTTGGATACGGCTCATATTTAGCATCTTCTCTAAAGGGATATTTAAGGTCCCTTCCAGAAAAAAGTATAAAATATTTTATCAGGTAGAGGATAATTATTTATTCCTACCACCTAAAAGATTCATGCAAGTGCATTAACAAGTACATAAAGCATGATGTAGTAATCCATCAACTAGTATATTGTCATGAAAGGTAAAGGCACAAATATTTCTCATTCACCTTAGACCTACACTGTGAAACTCCTAAGTCCCGATGTCCTGATAAAGTAGGGTATGGCTTAGGTTTTCTTAGTTCTTTCAGATGCAGTACCCTCCTGGAAGTGATGCTTCTCCTCCAAGAAATGGTTCTGTTGTGGGAATCGGAACCCCTAGCCCCTTGAACTCACAAGATTACCACCAGGCCTGGAAATGTCTGTTTCTCAGGAAAGCTGTTTGTGACCTGGGCTGAGGGAAAGAAATACAAAACAGAAGAAGCAGCCAGGGACTTCAGGTTCAGGGACTTTAGCCTCAAACTCCCCTAGGCAAGCACAAGTTCTCGCTGCCACGTACCTGCAGTTGCCATTACTGTCAGAGGAGCGGGGGAGGGGGAAGTGAAGGAGAAAGAACCCTCCCTGCCACCTGTAGCTTTCTAGATATCCTAGGGAGAACTGGAATTGGTTTTATTCCAACAATATAACCCATAGAACAAGTGACTTTATCTAGCTCAGTCAATCTTCTTTGACACACCTTCCAGTTATGGGTACCAAAAAGGGATTGCTGTGTCATCCCAAAGCAAAGCATCTCTCCTTTAGCAAAAGGTCACTTTAGCAAGAGGTCCATCTCCATGGATCCAAAACACATGCTCCATGGGATCACCGCTGATAAATTTATAACTACACAATAAAATGGGGCACATGGGGTGCTTAGGAAGGACCAGCACCCCTGGTGTAAGGGTTTGCTGACTCCTTTTCAAGTCTGCTTGTGTACCTTTGGTGTCCACTAGTGACTAAACTCTCACCTGTGGATCTAAGAAGCTGCAGCATGCTCAGCAGCCATATCCCTGTAAAACCATCTCAGCAGACAAACTAAATCACATTAAGGGCAACTGACAGACCTTAAACCCATCTCCTCTATCAGGCTACATAGCAGGCTTGGATTGCATTGACTTCTCACCCTGGCCTCTTAGAATCCATAGATACCTTCAAGGCCTACCTTAGGTATTACTTCCCATGAAAAGCCTGTTCCAATTGACCTAGTTGTTAATGCCTCTTTCTCCTTCATCAGACTATCTTGAATTTGTCTGTTTATATAATGTAGCCTCCAGTAGACCTTGTTATCTTCAGCACCTAGAACATTGCTTTTCATTTAATCAGTGTTTGCTGAATGAATGAAATAACCTTTGTCCCCATCTTGACTTCTCAAAATGTTAACCATCCCTCAAGTCCTAGTTCAAATGCTACCCTAGCCATAAGTGATTCTCTCCCTTCTCTGAATTCTCACAGTATTTTGGCCTGTATCTTGGGCCATCACCAGTCTTCTTGACTTTTGTCCTGCCACTGTACTTCATGACCCTGGAAGAGAGAGTGAAGCTGATGACTTTGTGCAACTCTTCCTTGCTTAAATCCAATCCACTGGCAAGTCGAGACATCACCAATCACATCATGATGTCATTGGTCATCTTTGAAAATGAAGGATGAACAACAACAAATAATCATAATAATAAACACAGGAAACTGTTGGTTTTCTTTTTCTTGTTGTGACCAGAAAGTTCCTGTTACCTAGCACTTCATTAACTGGTAGCTAACCACAGAGCGTGCATCTCAGAATCCACATCTAGATTTGATTCAGGCCCACCTTGAAGATGCCATAGGAGTGGGGGGATGTGTGGAAGAATTTGTCTCAGCTCTGAAGATGTGGAGGAATTGGACCAGAAGTTGAAAAGCTCACTTTCTAATAGAGTGGTCCTGAACCATCTTTGGATTTGAGGGCTGGGAAAGGGAGATCATTTTTAGATATTTCCCCTAGCATCTAAAAGAATGCACAATACTGTTGATTGACTGCTCAGATAGAGTAAAGAAGAGCATCCAGAGTGTTAGGCATGCTTACCTTGGGCTAGATTTTCAAGAGAAGTGTCAGATATCCTCAGGAGTCCTAGGAATGGGATAAACAGCCATTTATCTCTGCTACTTTTGCCTTAGTCCTGCCTGAAGGCAGAGAAGACATGAATATTTGCCACAGTGGATGTAATTTTTAAAGTTAGAGATCAGCTGCCTTTTCTTGGAATATCATATTAGACATTTGTGTGGACCCCTGAATTTTCTGATGGGGAAATGGCAAGAAATAGGCACCACTCTCATTGCTAGCTTTTCAGGCTGAGCAGGGCTGACATCTGTAAACTGGAGGGCTAGATTTCCTTGTCAACATCCATTTGCCTTTCCAAGTCACATGAGTGCAGGCAGACAGTGATGAGTCATAGCTAAGTGAGAGCCAAATTAAGAAAATACAATCCATCTATTCCTTCAAAATTAGATTTTTGGAGAAGGTTTTACTTCTCTCAGAATCAGCAAGAGCATCCTAAATGACCGTCACATTACTTAGATAACACTAAGTGGCTTTTCCTTTATTCATAAATAATCACTCAGGATGGTAACTTCTTTCTCCTTTACCAGAAAACCACCTTGAAATTTGGGAATTTGAACCTACTTAACTTAAATGGGCCTGATGCTATTCTCTTACTTTCCTTTCATCACTTGCTTTTGATCAGCATAACAAATTGTATCTTAAAATACATCAACATCTCAAAAGATCACATTGTTCTGCTTGCTCCCAGAGGCCAGAACCAGAATTAATGGGTAGAATTTGCAGAGAAGGAAATTTCAGCACAATCTAAGAAAAATTTTCCGCAGAGTTATAGTGGTCCCAAAGAGAAAGGGATGTTCGGTTCCCTCATTGGAGGTCTTCTAGTGGAGGCTGGATGGCTGCTTGCCAGGGAAGTGGACTTCTTTCAGGGATGGTTTGAATTAGATGGCCTTCGAGGTCCCTTCCAAAGGCAGGCATATTCTTCTGATAAGAGTTTGAACCAACTTATGATACTCCTTAAGATATCTCCTAGGCATATTCTAGTACCAAAATCTACTGAACATTAGTGCTTCATAAATTGTTCTTGCAAATTAGTTGGAAAAAAAATTGATCCATAAGCTTCAGTGACCAGCTTGTTTTTCAAGAGGAGCACAGAAAACAAAATTAGTGAAATTAACATTCTGTCTTCAAGGATTATCTTTCTTTTTGCTTGTATTTATATCCCCAGCCTTTAGCACAGTGCCTGGCACATAGTAAGAACTTTATAATGCCTTTCTCATTCCATTGCTCATTTGTATTCAACCCAGGAGTGAGTGAATAGCTCTTTGATAGATAGCTCTGCAGAGTCCCCAACTCTCTACCAGTTTTATTGATTTATTTCTTCACGTAATTTTATCAGAGCCATTCTATCTCCTTTGTTGGTACACTGATGTTCCAACACAGCTGCATCCACCCTTTTGACCCATAAGACTGATTAAGGCAGTAGGAGAAGAGGGTTGACATCAGACAGAGTGTGTGGCATTTGAAGGAAAAAAAAAGCCAGGTATTGAGAGAGACATGATGATACCTGAGGACTGTCACCTTGTGACTAACAGTATTAGACTTAGGACAGTCAGGCAACACCACAGGGGTGTTAGCCTTTGGGGCATTTGATTAGGGCTTTGTTTCAGTGCTGGGGTTGCAGGAACAGACAGAGACATAAAACAGGCCTCAGACTGTGGTTTATAAAGCCCTGGGAGAAGAGATGCTAGGACATGTTCTTGTTTGCCCATGCAGTTACAACTGGAAAAATTGGTCACATTTCTGCAGCCCTCTGTAATCTAGCTGTGTTTGCTACTTGTGTCCATGATTAGGAGATCTATAATAAGAAACTGAACGTTCAGGTTGCGCTCTCTGCTGCTCTTGTGCTACGGCTGGGAGACTGAAGAGAAGAGAGGGGGACCCTAGCCTAAAAGAGTTTTGTGCCTTCAGGGAAACTGGATACGTAGAGTTGTTGAGAAGTGTATGTTACTTACAATTAATGCTTCTACTTTTTTTTTTTTTTGAGAGGCAGTTGGGGTTAAGTGACTTGCCCAGAGTCACATAGCTAGTAAGTGTTATGTGTCTGAGGCTGGACTTGAACTCAGGTCCTCCTGACCCCGGGGCCAGTGCTCTATCCACTGTGCTACCTAGCTGCCCCCAATGCTTCTACTTTTACTGTGCATTTAATATTCTAATTAAGCTGTGTGTTTATATTATGACCATGAACGAATAAATAAATAAAGGAACATGATGGGAAGAATAAACGTGTATGGCTAAGTAGATGGGGACCAAGCCAGAAATTGAATGTATCAGGCTTATTCTAGGACATGACAGAGACGTAGCAGTTCAGGGGGTTGGGGGTATTAGGGGAGTATAAGAGTAGCTTGGTCAAGTTTGACAGAGTAGTAGGATGAAGCCTTAGACAAAAGTACAAATATCCATTCTTATTCCTACCACATTTGGGATTTTGATGCTGTCTCCTTAATGGAATGTAATTAAGTACCCTTACTCTTGGATACTCACTGGCAATGCATTGAGGATAACTAATTGAGACTTGGCTCACTTAGAATTGAGCTACACTCTTGGACTTGGACCTTTAAAAGGGAACAGACAAAGAATTGAAGAGAACGGACTGAGGCCAGAATACACATAGAGAGCAGATATATTGCTGAGGGAAAGGCACAAAGCCTCTTATCTTTATAGTCTCCTCTCTTCCCCCCATCTCCAGGGGTGTGCTGGTAAATGTTTAACAACCAGCTGTGTGTCTGTGGGGAGAGGCAAATACCTTCCCAAGACCCACTTTGAAGTTTAATCTGCATTGTTAACATTTTCCTGATCACTTTCTTAAATCTAGACAATCAATAAAACAATAAATCAAGCTCTGGTTTGTAGCATTTCCTGATTTCCAAGGTATAAATGCTCCCACTGAAAATTTAATACTGGCTCTTCTGAGCTTGGTTTGAGTTAGTTACACCACAGCCCTGCCCACTCTTCACTCCAAAGAGAAGTGAACCTCTCTGCCCCAAAGGTAACATCTATGACAAAGCAATGTCAGAATGGTGAAAGAATTCCTGGACAAGGAATCACCCAGTGGAAGAGTTTTTGAACCAAATATCCTGCAAAGACGAGGAAGAAACATGTGACTGTAAAGCAGAAATGGTTGTGATTTGGGAGGAATTTAGACGGAATTTGTCTTCTATTAGTATTGTGAGCTAGAAGGAGATCAAGTCACTTTCCATTTTCTGGAGAGCCTCAATCTTTTAAGTCTCGAAGACCATATAAGTCCATGGGTGGAAGGTTAGGTCCTCTAAGAGAGGGAAGGAGAATCATCTTGAGTATTTATAGACTCATATACGATTCCTTTGCATTTTGCATTTTCTATGGGGTAAAACAAAGCTTGCTGTGCATTTCATGTGGTGCTAGCCTGAGTGCTTCCATGGACATTCTGGGTGGGGGTAAGATGATCCAAATTCTGATGTTTCCCAGGGAAATAGTTATTGAGTACATGAGTCTAAGAGAGTGGTTTGTGAAAAGCATCCTCACAACTGAATCTGACCAATTAAACCCAGAGCTGATGTTCTAAGCTACAGGTTATGTAGTCCTTTATACACCCCACTTATTTTACATATGGAAAGATCAGAGCCCAAAGAAATGAAGAGGCGTACCCAAGTTCTCATAGTGAGTAATTGTCAGACCTGGGGTTCATACCTAGATCCTGTGCTTACAAACTCAGTCCTCTTTCTACTACACCTGGCTGACTCTTCCAAGAGCAAACTGTGGCAGTGGCCACCAGTCCTCATGCCATCTTTAGCATGCATGCTATAATTGCCAATCCCTGCCCTGGAACTATTCAATAGTTTTCACACCTATCTTGTGTTAGTCATTTTCAAAGGCTAAAGATGGGGGAAAGGACTATCATAAGGATAAGTTGAAAAGAAGGAAAAGCATACAGAGAAGTGGGGAGCAGAGAAAATGGAATGGGTCCTTCTCTAAACAGGCTATCATGTAGACTGAGGGAAGGTAGGGACTGACTACCTGTGCTTATATGGGAGGGAGCTGGAAGAGAGGGGGTGTGGGAAAGAAGGGTGTGTTTTGAATGTGCTGAGAAATGGGGGTAAAATGCTGACTTGATCATTAAAATCAAAGCCAGTAGACTTGTTCACACAAAATCATCAGGCATCAGCCCGGTATCTTTGCTGAAATCAGGGTTCTGATGGACAGCTTGTTGGAAGATGGCCCACAGCTCACAGCTGACTCACTGTCTCCAGCATGACTTCGCAAGTCTCAGTGTCAAGATGAAGGCTTATTGTTCACTAAATGGGGTGATAGCTGATATATGACCAAACCTCAAGAGGAAGAATCTTTCTGCCTTTCATTTCAAGGGGTCTCAAGGTATGATATAAACTGGGTGGGAGGGCATTTTAATTCATCCACTCAAATCCTAGAGACAAGCAACCTGGCATATAAGAGATGGTAGGCTAGCCTCAGTTAGGAAGACCTGGTTTCAGGTCTTACCTCTGATACCTACTGGCTGTGTGACCCTGAGGAGCAAGTTGCTAACCCTCAGGTAACCTTCCGGCACTTGGTCTTGGGGGAAATTTCCATAACAAGGTATTTCCTACACATTAAAAACAAGTTCAGGCCAAACCCCCTCTCCCCCCAATTTCTAGTGATTGGTCCCTTTGAAGTGTCTGTGATTTATCACACTCAAACAACAAAAACAACCTTCCTCCCTCTACTTTATTTTTCTCTAGGAGAGGGAAGAAAAGCTGTACAGAAACCTACCTCCTAATTAATTACCTCTTCCCTTGCTCCAAGATACTACAAGGAAATCATTGAAATGCTTGTTTTTGTGAAACCACTATCTCTCCTTCAAAGACAGTTTCTCTCTGCTGTTTCAACTCGGGTCATGATCTCAAGGATTAGTTACATAGTAGACCCCTTTAAAAAGCCCAAAACAAAGCCTTTCCTGGGGACTCTTTAGAGAAGAGAGCAGAGTAATAGGAAGATTATATTGTAATTGCTCAAAGGGAATAATAAACTTCTATTTATTTATAAAGCAACATTTCTTAAACCACGGTTTCAAAATCAGAGCATGATGAATGCTTCTGCCAACCAGTTCCTGCTTCATCTTATTCCCCCTCACCCCTAAAAAAAACCAAAACAAAACCAAGCCCCAAACTCACAGAGCAGAACAAATTTGAGTGTTTCTCATCCAGCCAAGTTTTTAGAGCTTCCACTTCAAAAGGGCATGTCTAAAGTTACTTACCCTAAGACCAGTAAATCCTGAGGAGGAAGAAGGAAGGAGAATGTCAGCTCACAGTCTCATTTTTTCTCAGCTAAGTGACTGTTTTTTGCTGACCTGTCAAATTAGAATGTGCTCCTTCCTGACAACATTTCAGACATGGCTTTGGCAAGTATTTTGGAACAGGAAAGAGTCCTGTTTGCTCTCCAAATACAGGCCTCTTAGGCCCTGATTCTCTCAACATGCATCCTTAGCTTGGAGTGTCCCCTAATGACTGAAAATTGGCAGATTCCTTTTCATTAGCTCCTCACTAAACCGTCAGGGACAGCGAAGGGGTTTTGCTAAAGACTTGGATCAAGTCTGTGGTAGAGAGCTGGCTAGTTACTCAGAGTTCACTGAGTGGGACAGACGCTGTGATTCTGGGTTTCATTCCATTTGCTTGGCAACTGAGTAAAATAGAGCAGGACCGGTCTGTCTTCCATACATTGGGTCCTTCTACTTCCCTCCAAGGAATGTTCACTTACGATTGCATATAATTTTATGTTTTTGTTGAAAGACCTTTGCTGAGTGAGTATGCTGCCTCCTAAAGGCTCTGGCTCAGTAATGATGATGATGATGATAGCATTTATATAGTACTTTAAGGTTTGTAAAGCACTTTACATACATTACCTCATTTGATCCTCACAACAACCTTGTGAGGTAGATATTTTTATTAACCCCATTTTACAAATGAGGAAATTGAGGCTGAGCAAGGAAGGGTAAGTGACTTTTCAGGGCCACACAGCTTGTATGTATCTGAGGCAAGACCAACTCAGGCCTTCTTGAATCCCACACACTATCCACTGGGCCACCCAGTTGCCGAAGTCTTGGCTTCTGCGTCATGATCCATTTCTGTCAGTCTGAAAACTGCAGCCCTCTAAGAGATGAGCAATTGTACTATACACTTTCTAGATAACAAGCAGAAAAAAAAAAGACAGAAGGTTTAAAAAGCTTTCCAGAAAACAATGTCAGACTAGATTAGGAAAACTCAGCCAATGAATGTTTTGTGTTTTTAATTAACATTTTGATATTTATTTTGAATCAAAGTCAAATATTCCAGATAGATATTTTCCTCAAATATTCCTGGTTGGCCTATGACTGATTTCAATGGTCACACCATGACCAGGAAAGTTTCATTATTCTGGCTATGTGTCCTTTTGATGTTGATATTCATGTTGCTGTTTAATAACATTACTGCCTCCATCCCACACACTGTTGATGTTGCTTCACTGATAATTCTTGTTCTGGCGTTCAGTGTGTGAAAATAAGCTCATTGAAAACTTCATACCCACTTTAAAGGGGAGTTAAAATTCATTTCAAGTGCACTTCTTTCCTCTGTTGTGATAGGATTACAAGATCAAAGATTAAAACATGGAGAATACTTTAGAGATCATCTAGTCTAAACTCTTTAGGAAACTGAAGAGGCCCAGAGAAGGGAAAGTACGTTGTCCAAGGTCACATAGCCACAGAGCCAAGATCTGAACACACACGCCCTTTGATTCCAAATCCAGAACATGTACACATGGAACCAAATTTCATAATGACCTTGATGCAAAAGTGTGCATGTGTGTAGGGGTGTGTCTGTGTGTGTGTGTGTTATTATTTCATATTAAGAAGGATTATTCAGGGTGCAGCTAGGTGGTACAGTGGATAGAGCACCAACCCTGGAGTCAGGAGGACCTGAGTTCAAATCCAGACATCAGACAAATAACACTCACTAGCTGTGTGACCCTGGGCAAGTCACTTAACCCCAACTGCCTCACCAAAAAGAAAGAAAAAAAAGAAACTTATAAATAAAAAGAAGGATTATTCAGGATGGGGCAAACCTGGTAGAGAATATTTGGGTGAAAGTCAATGGAGAGATCAACAAAAGCAGTTTTGTCATTATAAAATACTACCGACCACCTAGACAGAAAGAAGAAACAGTGGAAGGGTTGAGGAAACCATTACAAACCTGGAGCTGATGCATGATATAGTGGTGATGGGGGACTTTAATTATCCAGATGTTTGCCAGAATTCTCTCTTCTGTCAAAAGCGTATCAGCTAACAACTTCTTGACTTGACTTAATGGTAATTTCATCCTTCAAAAGAGAAAGGGGAATTTTATTATGAATCTGATTCTCATCAACATAGAACTGGCTACTAGAATGGGAATGATGGGAACCTTGAGGAAAAGTAACCACTCTCCTCTAAAAGGAGCAGTACTCAATGTATAACGTAGATCAGATATTGGGCAGCTATTTATTTTCACCCCACCAAATAAATGCAAAAACAAAAAAACTTATATACATTCATTGACAAAGACATAAAACATGAAAACTCACTCCATAAATCTTATTACACTCTTCTAAGAAGCTGATACTTAAAACATAAAACATTAAAATATGAACATCTAAGTCAGAGGTTCCCAAATTTATTTGGCCTACTGCCCCCTTTTTTAAAAAAATTTCTCAGTGCCCCCTGGAAATCTTTTACCCTTTAACAATTTAAAAAAAAAATTTGTGTCATTTCAAAAAAATAGAAAAATTTTTAAGGAGTGACACATCTAAATTTAATAATTTATTGTTAATTTGTGTTTTTTTCCTGCATTGAAATTTTGATGTGCAATATTGTATCATGTAACCATATAGTATTGTATTGTAAACAAGTCATTACACACAGATGTTCTTGATGATGCATGCTGGACTTCTGGATAATGCATGACACACTTGCCTGCCAACACTTGCTTGTTAAGATCTGTTGGCGGACATGACCACTGATCAGTTATAACTTGCATTTTGTGTGTTTATTTGGAAAATAATGTAATCACTGTGACTTTAACTCTTTTATACAACAGATGAAATATGTACAGTTTTTCAAAATTTTCTTATCTTCTATTCAACACACCCGAGGCTATTACCGCCCCCCCACCATCATCCCAGTGCCCCCCAGGGTGGAATATTGCCCATTTTGGGAACTTCTGAATGGTATAGCTGAACAGATAGCTATTTCACCTTCACCTTGGCTCAGTACTCTCTGCATTGTCTTACAAAGTCCATATTTTCTAGCAAGACAGGGAATGCCTTAGACTCATCCTCATCTTTTCCAAGAAGCATTGTAGTAATGATAGAAAACTCCTCCAGGTACCATTCAGGATCAATGGAGGAACGTGGGAACTTCCAAATTCATGAGGCTGTTGCCAAGACTAGGAAAAAAAATATCTCAGGATTTCTATTCAGGCACTTGTGCACAGAGAAAGAGATGCAAACCAAAGGAGACTGTCTGAGGTTTGAGGTTTGAACTTCAGTTTGAGGCTCATCTAGGCAAGCATATGTGCAAAATACCCTATGTAGGCAGCACCATTGTTACCATTTCAGATCAGGGAGGAGCCCTTCCTCTCCTTCACAAGAAGTCTAAGCTGGAGGTTTAAAAAGTTCTTGAGCAGGCAACAGCTGCAAAGAGGATAGAATGTCAGAGAACCTCTATGTAATCTTTGACAACATCTCCTCCTGAATACTGTCTTCTTTTAGGTGTTGGTTTTTTTTCTTTTTTCTTTCTTTTTTTTTTTGGTGGCACTGCTTTCTCTTGGTTCTCCTTCTACCTGTCTGACCATCCCCTTTGCTGACTTTTCATCCAGGTCACTCCCAGTAGCTATGGGTGTCCCCCAAGGCTCTATCATTTTTCCTTCTATACTGTCTCACTTGGTGATCTCATTAGTTCCTATGGATTAAATTATTGTCCTTACACAGATGATTTTTGGGTCTATAAATCTAGGACTTGTCCCTTGTCTAAGCTCCAGACCCATATAACCAATTGTTTTTTGGACATCTCAAACTGGGTGTTCCGCAGGCATCTAAAATTCAGCCTGTCCAAAAGAGAACTCATTATCTTCCCCCTCAAACTGTTCCCTCTTTCTTCTTATCGATAAGGGTACCACCATCCTTGCACCCAACTTGTAACCATGATCTCATCCCCTGATTTGCCACTTGTACTCATCCCACATCACCAACCTATTGTCAAATTTTGCTGTTTCTACCTTTACAACACATCTCCTGTGTTTTTTTCTTCATTCACACAGCCACCACCCTCATCACTTTTCACCTGGACTATGGCATATAGTCTTCTAATTGGTCTTCTCGCCTCAAGTATCCCCCGCCTCCAATCCATCCTCCCCTTAATTACCAAAGTGATTTTCCTGAAGTTCAGGTCTGACCATGTCATTCCCTAACTCAGTAAACTACTAATAATATAATGATGTGATAATATTTTAAAGTGCTAGCACTTTATATAGTAATATATATAGTAATATAAAAATGTTAGCTACTTTTATCATTACTAAATAAACTTCCTTGGGTGGCTCCCTAATACTTCCGGGGTCAAATATAAAGTCCTTTATAATCTGGCACCCTCCTATCTTTGCTCCTCTCCACACACTCCACAATCTAGCTACACTGGCCTAGCTGCTGTTCCCCAAACATGGCACTCTGTCTCCCAGGTCCATGTCTTTGACTGACTGATGCCCAGAATGCTCTTTATCTTAACACCCACCTTTTAGCTTCCCTGGCATTCTGTAGAATTTTGCTTAAATTTTGCCTTCAATAAAATACTTTTCAGGTCTCTCTGGATAATCAGAAGACCACAACTAATTCCTTCCCTCTGAGATTTATCTTCCATTGACACTGCATTTATCTGGTATGTATTGTAGTTATTTCCATGCTGTCTCCCCAACTAGAATATGAGTTCTTTGAGGGCGGGACAGTGTTTTTGCCTTTCTTTTTCTCCCCTGCACTTAACTCAGTGCCTGGTACACGGTCAGCAAATACATGTTGACCATCTGACAGGATGCTGGTGTTCTTCAACATGCTAAATTTCTTTGTGTGTTCTTCAGGGTTTATAGGCACTCACTCTCCTTTTTCCCTCTTACCAAGAACCCTGCTCAGGATTCAAGATATTCTACTTTGGATAAGCCCTCATTCCATAAGAAACTGAGTCAATCTGTCAAGAAACATTTATTAAGCACTTATGTGCAAAATATGATACTAAGCACTAAGATTACAAAGAAAGGC